AAACTTTATGATGGGTGTCGTCAAAAGCGAAGTGAGCCAGTCAAAACCTGGATTGATACAGCAAGGAAAGATTTAGAACATGAAGGTAAACCAGCAATATATGGACTCAGATGAAAAGAAAAGTGGCTTCTATTACGATGGCATCAGATCACACAGCATGGAAACGTCTTACCCTTGTAGCCATTGTAGTATACGAACGTTACCTAAAAACTAGGCGCTTAACACCTTTTGCAATTATTAAACCTCAAAGGATTTTACTATCAGCAAGACTTCTTCTTCTGATAGCTGTCACTATTTCTACTTTGATTAGCTGTTAGGATGAGGATCCTTCATCAGAGAGTTAAGAAAAATGTAGGCCAATCTCCAGCATTGCACAGATTTCATTTTTATAGTCCCGTCAAAGGACAGAAATAGGGTCGACGACTCGACTCTTAGCATTTCATTATTCTTTGAATACTTTTTTTTAATCAACAAAGAAGATGATAGTTATTTCCACTGATATACCATATTTTTTTAATTTTCCAATTTCAAAAAAAACTTAGGTTATTTAACTTTTTTGCATTATAAGATGCGGAATATGTGCATGACCAGAGAAACTCCTAGAATACAATCGTTTTGATAAGATGGAAGTTTTCGCCCTTCAGGCTTTGATAACTTATTTAATTTGAATCTTATTTATTCATTACCACTGATACCTAAAATAGAAAATGGCTTAGAAGGCTGATAAAATTATATGGAGGCTTCATGCATTACATTTAATCTATTTTTTCCACAGCATTAACCATTTCTTACTCGGCTGATTCCAGAGTGAAGCTTTTTCTCCAGAGAATCATTTTGGAATAGAATTGCAGATGGACCTTCAGCACCTTCTTGGCGTTGACCTAATAATCTTAATGACCATGACCTAATAATATGCAGTTTTTTTGGAATCGGTTACAACTTCGAACTCTTTTAATCGCAAATTCTGTTATATTATATTGCATGTTATATTACATGTTTGTGACTGTTGATTTTTCTGGCTACTATTAGTTGTTCAACACATAAATTTATTGTAAAACTTATTTATTGGCCGAACCAATGCTGCGTTAAAGTAGATATATTCTGATCTAAATTACAACACTTTGTGTACTGTGGTATTCTGTTGCATTTTCATGGATTTGCATACGAGTGACACCATTAATAAAATATTATGTTTAATTTAAGATTAGTTAAAACTTTACTGCATTTATCTCGATATGAAACGCACAATCATGACCATTAAGTAACTGAGTAACTGATTAAGCAAATAAGTTCACCGCAATTCAGTGAGCTGATAAAAAGCTTGGGTTAGATATTGTGGATGTGTTGTTAAAAGTGCACCACATGTGCTCACTTCTTTTAAGAAAAGTTATTGCAGAAAAAAAGAATTGTGCAAAAAGGAAAAGAACATACGGCAAACACAAACTTTGATAACCTGGTTGAAATTCGATGATGATAGTGTATTTGATTTTTGCAAGTCTTTTGTTTCAATTTGATTAAATTGTTGTTTACTTTTTGCAATGCGAGCAATTTGCAGTATCCGCGATAATCCTGAAGGTGGCGGACATTTTGACTGAACCATTTGCTCAAATTTCGATTTCTCAAGAAATTTGATATCATTTGTTATTGCTAGATATTTACACTTTGAAATTTCATCAAACCTTTATTATTTTCATCATCTAATGACCGTTTTAATGGTGTTATATCCTTAAATTGACACAGATATAATACCACTTGATTTTTGTCATTTTTTATCGGTGCTATATGCACCAGTAACCATATTGGCGTCTCTGCAAATAAAAAGTAAAATTCGTAAATAAAAAGTGATAATAGCAAACAAAACTTATAAATTAAAGTCGGTTGATCTTTTGCATTTCATTTCCTAGGACATAATATTTCAAAAGATGTAGACCACCATTTAAAAGCCAATCGTGTGAAACAAAAGATATAATAAGAAATAAAATAAGAAATATAATAAATAAATAACAGAAGTATGGCTATTACATATGAAAACGAGTTTTTTAAATTTTAATTTGAAATTTGATAATTTCCTAGGAATTACTGGCTTTAATTCGCAGAAAAATTTTTTGTTTCCTGATTTAAATTAACTTGGTTGCATTTATAACCAACTATTTTTTTTGCATAATCCGATCTCCGTTTGATCTGTGCGACTTGAGTCAAGAGCATTTTGAATTTTTTGCACAGCTTCACGTTCACTATGATCCGAATACATGAACGATAACCTAAAATGGTGAAAAAAAAAGTTTTTAAATTTATTCGTAGATTTCTTAATGTAAGTGTTAGCGGAAATTTTGGAATATGAGGGTGCAAAGCGTCTTATCTATGGAAAATTAAAAAATTAGCTTGACAGAAAATAAATTAGCACCAACGAGCATGGCTTTTGCATAATTTCAGCTCTTGGATAACCGATCATCTTAGAGAATCCATCATTACAATAGACAATGGGATAATCCACAATTTGAGCATTCGCTAATATAAAGCTGCAATCTGAAAATTTCGTTGATTGTCAGTTAAAAAAATATGCCATTATCTTTTTTTTTGTTATCATCACAATTTATTTGCAACACATCCCAAAAAAAACATCCAAACTCTGTGAAATATTAATGATTTCCTTGGCCTCGTACTTCTGATAATGCTCATAAAAAGAAAAAACAGCTATGAAAATTACATTTAGGAAAAGAAGAAAAAAAATCGCTTTTAAGGGATTTTAGAATAGTTCAGCATTTATAGTATATTAGAATTAGTAAAAATGGAGCAAACTGCAAATGCAAAAAAGAAAACAAAATCTGAGATATACCTGCATTATTGCATCGACGTACCACATTTTCAAGAAAAGTATTTTGTGGTGCTACGAGTCCCCTCTTAGCTGCTGGCATCATTTGAAGGTACGAGAATAAGTAGCACTCCTATAATCATATTAATCATACAGTCATTTACTTCATATAACAGTTTTTATCCAAGTTAGTATATACATCGTGAAGTTTGTCTAGAACATTTACAGTAGCTAAATTAGCTAAAATATATGATTTCTCAGTTCTATCAAGAATTATTGCAAATACTAAATTATTATCAAATTCATAACATTTTAATCTGAATAAAAGATACCACATCGAAATCAACAAAAATATACGAAGATTATTTTGATAGAAAATTTTTTCCTTTTCTTGTGGAAAGCCTTCCTGATTTAAAGAATACGAAACTATATAACACCTGAAATGGATAAATTGTTTTTAAAAAATGCAACAACAAACCGATTTAAACTTGGAAAACGGCATTTTTTACAATACTTCACCATTTTTATTTCAAGATAAATAATGAAATAAATGATGAGAAAGTAAAGAAGTTTTATCACGAAAATTTTGATCAGTTTTAATAAATAATTGCAAAAAATTTCTCCATTTTAAAATATTTGCTTAATTCCATTAAACTAATATTTATATTATATAAATATATATAATATTTATATACAATTGCGATAAAATTAATAAACCAATTATGGAGAAGCTAGAAGAACAATGTTTTTGCAAAAATGTACGAAGATATTAAATTCGAGAAAAATATACGAAAAGCGGCAATGAAGTAAAGCCGTTGTCGAATAATTATAACAAGCCTGTCTTTTCCAGTTTCTTTCCGGAAGTACATCATAAAGTTTTCAATTTTCTCGATTCACAAAAAATTACGCCATAACAAGCGCGAAGTCAAATTTAAGCCAACAATATGATTTTTGAATGACATTAAATATAAAAAAAATAAAGCCATTATCTGGCTAAGAGCACAAGTAATCTTATAATCTACCGTTGCCAAGCAATCAATGACAATCACATAAAAAATATCGTTAAAATAAGGAAATTCAAACACTATGAAAATATTTTATAAATGAGTAAAACAATTGATAACGATAAATATCAAAATTAAATGCTGATTGCTTACATAAGTCAAATATGTACAGTGATAATATGATAAAGCAAAAAACTGCTTTCTTCACTTCCCTAACAGAGTCAATCGCTGAAGACACAAAACATGAAGAGGTACATGTATTTGACTTCATCATTAAAAGTAAAATTTTGATAATGTTAGTCATTCGTCTTCTGTTTACTGCTAGTATGAGCCATTTTTTAATTCTGTTTGACATTCGCATCATCGTAAATTGATTTAGGGAAATGAATTTCCATTCAGATTTTTTTACAAGATTTGGAAAGTATTGAGCATATAAGAGTGCATATTTAAAGATAGATTTAAAGGAATGAGGAGTTCAGCATCTACTGTTGCAATGACTATTAGTAGCAAATTTTAAATTTCTGAGAATCATTTGAGGATAGAAATACAAATGGACCTCCAATGACTCGATTTTGCTTTTCGCTCCAGTTTCACTTTTAACAGCAGACTTATATCTATCGGGGGCAAAGTCAAAGCCATGACGAACTAGACAATATTTTGAATAACAACTACTCGGTTTTTCCACCTCCGGTGGATATAAAAAATGTAACATAAATACATCGTTTAGATGGAACTTACATGAATTTTATGGTTTTCATTACTATATATAGTCTGGCATTTATTACCATAATAATATAAATTTAATATCAGTGAAATTTAAAATATTATTAATCTGAAATAGACTAAACTAGCATAAAAGTAGAAAAATTTTACAATATTTGAGCGAAAAATTGATTAACTTCAGAAATGTTCCTATTCCTAACTCATCTTAAACTAACCGATCCATTGATAATGATAATTGTAATAATTTAGCAATAAAAGTGATTTGATAATATTATAGGACAAATTCATACCTTATTGCATAATAAATTTTTTACAAATAATAAATTTTGTTCTTAAAATATGCAATGTTTATAGAGATTACGGATTTTATAATAGCTGAATACAGACTGGTAAACACCATTTTATACTTAAAAAGTAGCCTACTTAATAAAAAATTTACATGATTCTCGTTCGCTTCAATGTCAGAATTCGCAGCATTCCGTCCTTCTGGACAAACATTTTGGCTGCTCTTTTCCTGAGATGATATGAGTTCCTGAGATCATTAATGATAAGTTTTGTGGACAGTGTGTAATTTTTTAAAACTCCTTTACAAGAAATATCATCCATCAAAAAAGCAGTTGTGGCAATGATTCATGTTTTGCTTTACTACGCTTGTTAACATAAAAATGTAAAATATAAAAATGAATACCGAATTGTCAATGTAAACTTTATTTGCCACTGGCTTATCAATTTAGAAGCAATTATTACAGCCAAACAAGTGGTGAAAGTGATGTACGGAACAAAATCCATATATATGTAATGATTTTATACTTGCTAAGTTTATTCAAACAACATTAGGCATTAATTTTAAAATAGGAATAAGTGGAAAAATTATAAGACTATGTTCTGGTAGGCTAAGCAGTGATTTGGGATTACGAGCAATATTTTTCCAGCTCAAGTTATAATAAAAGAAGGATAATATTTAAAAAATCACTATCCATTTTCGCTTCCTAGCAGGAATCGGTAATTATACACTTAGGATCTCTAAAACTTATTACAGGAAAAAAATATTCATGCAAATTAAACGAATATTTACGAATATTTATTTATTCGTAAATATGGCAAAATTTTTGACAGCTGAGAAAATGCTTGATTGATAGAACTAGGGTATGCTTCCGTGACTCATTACAAGACATCATCACTGTTTTAATTTTGCAATTTCTTTAGATCAATTAGGAAAAACGCAGAAACAAACTTCTGATCTCATTAATCGGCAAGCAAAAAACCTTGAAACAAAATTCCAAACTAATTTCGAACATAGCTAGCAATAGTCTCAGATAACTCTGTACTGCAGTTCCGATGAAGCTAGCTTATGAACTTATAGTTTTCTGAATCTATAATATATAAAATTAATTTGTAGATTAAAATTAAAAAGCTAATTCAACAAAAAATTCAAGTTACACTCTCATAAGACATCATAAATAGAAAATGAATCGATGAAAATTGAGAAAAATTTTTGAATTCCTATCTTAATAGCAAGGTGACATGTTGCTATGACTACTAATATTCTAATATTCGCAAAACACCAGCAATATTGGAGCTAATGGATATTGTAGCTCTTAGATTTATCTCATAAAGGCTATTATTTAAATTCTTATGATACCATCGATTTGTTTTATATCGACTATTTATCAAAGGTAAAATAAGAAATGAAATAGTTCTTCAGGTGGAAAATAAATGTAACAATCAGAAATAGTTCTTCAGGTGGAAAATAAATGTAACAATCACCATAGATTTGATAAAACATGCACTTTAAAGAAAAACTCGTAGGATTTTTCATGAATATATCTGAATTTTTTTCTATCTTAGCAGATTTGGTTCAATATATTTTAAAATATTCTATCCAAGCTTAGTATGCTGGAACAATCTAATGCAAGTCCAATGCAGGACTGTGTTCCTTCCCAAAGAATTCTTAATTAGGCGATAGAATGGATTATGGACATTTTAGAGGTGTGCAAGTGGGCCTGGAGCACATTATTATGAATTTTTAATGTGCTGGTAAAATATATAGATTCTTTATTAAAAGAAAGACTATATTATAAATATGTGAAATATGGAAATAGCTCTTTTTTGTAAAATTACATAAATATACTGAAACCTCGTTAAGTTTTTCCAGGTGAATGCAAAAAAATTCATTTAAACGCTGAACTGAAAATTGATTTACAAATGTTATAATTATGAAAGAAATTTCGAAATCGAAATTATCATAGGTAGAAGGCTATGTTTATGTTGCAAAGGCTCGATATTACAAAGCATTTAATTTTCGCCGAAATGCTGGAATTTCAAAAGAGGAAATGAAACGATTTACAAGTGAGACCGTTCTCATTGAGGCCGGTTATCGGAATGGGTACAATTTAAACCTGTTAACGAGGACCTATGAGAGGGCAAGCCTGGTGCCAGCACCGCGGTAACTCCAGCTCTCAAAGTGTATATCGTTATTGCTGCGGTTAAAAAGCTCGTAGTTGGAATCCAGCTTGACGACATGGTCCATTTATTGGATGTCTTTTCCAACTAGTACTAATAAGAGAGTTCTTCAAATGGTGTCAAGATTTTTCCAAATTGAGTGAGCAATTTGTTTCTGCATCATTTGTAGTGGTGATATAAGCTTTCACTATTTATGTATTAATTCTTCAAAATTTTTTTAGTATTTGTAGAATTCATAGATTCAAATTTACATTTTTTGTTTCCATTACCATATTCGTTCATTTCATCTTACACAATAAACAAACAAGCAAAAACAATCGAAATCAAAATAATTTCAGAGATTAAAAGATTTTAAAAGTTTATTATATACTATTAAAATCAATAAAGTAAAAATTGAAAAACTCATCATTACCTTCTCATCTTTTAATATATTTTTAATAATATATTTAATTATATGTTTTTAAAATTTGATCAAAACATTGAAGCTTATTTCTTATGAAAAAGTTATGAAAAGAAATTACTTAAAATTAATTTCAAAGTGAAATTAAAATTTATAACTAATATATTTATGAACATAGAATTAATGATGGAATATCTGAAACATTAAATTATGTGATATCATAGATTCTAAAAAAAATTAGATAACTACCATTTGGTTCATTGAGCTCAGCGATAGTGATTCAGATCATCGTATTGAAGGATAACAGTTCGACTCTTGAGATCCTCCGCAAGGAGTGAATCTCGCATTAAAAAATCCAGAAAATTCTGGCAGAGCTCGCCTACTTCTATCGACAAGTGATTTTTGGATTGAAAAAATTCATGCTATACTAACAGCCAGCAGATCCAGTCTAAATGGTGAGCGTTAGCTACTCCTTTTGCTTTTTGACTCTGTCTAGTTCTGACTATAACGCTAAACATAAAAAGGTCTGATTCAGGATCAATTCTATCAATTCAAAATTATGTACGATATTTCGATGTGATTTTATAATGCACTCAAATTTGGGCATTTCTGGTTAATTATGTTGTGCTAATTGCAGTTCCTCTTTGAAATTCGATGAATGCAAAAGAATTTCATGGATGGAACTTTCTTTTAGGTGAATTTCTAAAATTATTCAGCTGATTTTCATGCACGTAGATCAAAAATATTGTGTCAGTGAATTTGATAATTTTGAGCAGGTGAATTTTTCCATTTCAAATTGCTTCCAAGTGCAGAAAATACACAACATTATCAATGAGACACCATCAAAAATTCAGTTTTTTAACGTGCTTACAAATTGGATTTGTACCAGTGACCTGCTTTTTTGAAAATATGGCAAAAAAACTGGTAACAACGAAAATTATTTATTTAATGAATTCGCTTAAACATATCTTTTTATAAATTTACTTCAGGTTTTTTCTACTATTGTAACAATTATTGGTCTTCTTTCAAAATAATCCGTAATTGTGAAGTATTACAAGCACCTGAAAATAATTTTCTTTTCCCTTGAACTTCTGATCAGTTTAAACAACCATAATAATTGAATATTTTTCGTTCCTACAACGGTCAGATTTCCTTTCTAAGCTTGCTTTATTGGCTATTGGGACGTGACAGTTACGTGGATAACAATATAAGATATTTTTTCCAGAGAGATATGGGCGGGTATAGGCGGATCGATAGAGCCAGTCGAATTTATTGATATCTTACTTTTATAGCTTGGGAACGAAACAGCGAATACACAATAGTTAGTTAATATGGAAAACTGTGCCCGAATTTTTTTTATGTTCATTGATCTGCACTTTATAGAATTAATAATGATATTCCACCTTCGAAGATAGGAAAAAAGAATTAGCAACTTCTTACAGGATAAACTTTTATGAAACGAAAAACGAAATGAGCAAATCCCACATAAAGATATATAAAAAGCAAAAAATTGAAACAATTTTTTTTTGTTACACAAAGAGGACAGAGAGGACAGACAAATAATCCTATAAATTGATTGACTTTATTGTAGCAGATTTGACACCGCAGAAATTAGAAATATTCCAACAAAAATGCAAAATATGAGAAATATCAAAAAGCGAAAAGACATGGATAAAAAAGAAAAAAATATAGAATATATCATGAAAGATAATGAAGGTTTATGGATTCAATAGCGTGGATTAGTTACTCCAAAATATGGTCCGATTCCTCCTCCAGGATACATACCGATCTACAAAGTTAAATGAAAAGTTAAATGAAAGATCAAAAAATTTAGAAGATGGAAACACAAAAATTTGGGTTTATTTTAAAATGTTTGAAACTTTATCCAACTTCATTAAAATAAATTATAAAAAACTCTTTCTTGAAATAAATTAATAATCAGGAAAAAATTGCAGGAGAAAACCTGAGATTCGTGAGAGTTGCATTCATAAAATCCCTTTTCCTCATTTCGCTGCTTTGATTTTGTCCGCCAGTAACAAGTAATCATTAGACAAGCTCCAACAACAAACGTAATTAGAGCGAAACCGAGAAGTATGAAAACTCCCGTCATCCTGGACGCAATGATTAATTAAATGTTGGCTATTTAAGTAGCGCCAAGAGAAGAATGAATTGTCATTGGGCCAAATTTTCGTTATTTGACTTTTCAGCAATTACTTCAGCTTTGTTCACAAACGCACGCCTTATATATAAATATCGCATTTTGAAACGTATAAATAATTCTATCTTAACTCGCTTAGACAGTTATTCTTTGCAGAATTCGAATAAAACTGTTAATCTATAAACATGAACTTACCAGAACTTGTCCTTCGGGCAGCAACCATTTCGGCAACAACCTTGACTTTTATCGCATCTGCAATTTCGAATATCAGTCACTTAAAAAATTAAAATCAAATATTATGGCAAGTCATCATCGGAGTGACAAAAAGCAGAAATGGCTGCAGTTATATCCAGAGGGAATGAATCCTTATGTAAGGGAAATCATACAGGCACATCTTAATGATGAAAAGATGAAAAGAAATTACCATATCTCTCGTGGCACCCAAAATAATCCCAGGTCAAAAATTCGAAATAAACTTGTGAATCACAATTCAAATGGGGATTTTGTACCAAAAAGTGTTTTGTTTTGTCAAGTATTTCTAATGAACAAGGTACAAAAAATTGAAGGTAAAAACAAATTTTTGGACTAGTTTTCTGAATTAGTGCTCCTACAATATTCTTCAATTATGAAAAGTAATAGAAGAAAATTGACAAGAGAGTAACAGCTGCGTTTAAAGTATTTTTCGCGGTGTAAATGCAACGGATGAATCCTGACCCAGCTCCTGAAAACTTTTAGTCTCACAACTATCACTGAGATCTGAACGATTGAATAGCAAGCATTATGATGTGCAAAATATCGCTGGTTGATCAGTTTGTTTATGCTCGTCAGAGCAACTAATATGATCTAGGTTTTATGTTTACCATGCTAACTAAAACGAATCGTAGGGTTTTATTTTATATTTTACCAAATTTCCGAATAATCTTTACGCCGAAAGATACCACAAAAAAGAACAAAAAATTTTAAAGATCGAATAGGACAGCTAGCCAAAACAATGCAGCAAAAAAATTCGACAAAAACCTTCTAGGTTTGATCCGACAAATTGCCCGATCGAAGCATGTTGATATGCTTCGGGTCCGGTTCCAACGACTGTGTTCATATTCGTTCACTTTTGTCACAGAGCTCGTGCTCTCTTAATGCCTCATGAAATATATTTCTGCTACTTAAAAAACTGCATAATCTCCAATTCTTTCCTGAAATCAAAATAAACAACTGCAAAACATCAGCTGATAGGTTTTTTAGGGTACAACTGTATAAAAAAGATTTAACGAACAAAAAAAGGATATTAAATTACATACGTATTTTTGATAATAAAAATAATACCATTCATTCGAGCACTTACGTGAATGAAGAAAATAATATTAGCCGCCTCCTACTTACGATGTATAGGTGAAAGTGATAGGGATATAAGGACTTCATAGCCTAAGCCAAAAATTTTTTCTTAGTGAGAATTAATTTTTTCTAAATACTACATTTCCCTTATTTGAGGCTAAAATTAGCAAAAAACTAATTTGTTAGAAGATATTTTAAGAATTCTTTTGACCACGAAACTCTTCAAAAAATATATATTGATATAAAAACGAGAACGCAGAGATGAAATTCTTGGATCTTATAATTAAATAACGGATGAAGAGCCGAATTTCACAATTTCATAAAAATATTCATTCTTCATAATTTCATGAAATTCATTTTTGGACTTATATGAATGAAGAAAATTTGGGAATTTTATAGACATACTCATAGTAAGGACAATTTTGTCGATTATATAAGCCGCTGGAAATAGTACTGCCAGTAACAGTAACATCCATATTCTAAATACTACTTTTTTCTTGCATCTGGTTATTTCTTTCCAATGAACTAGTCCACCACCTACACCATTCCTTCAGCAATATTTAGATTTGGGATAAATTTTAATTGGAGCGTTGAATTTCAGAAATCATCAGTATAGATAAAATTTATTCACTAAACAAAGTGGGGAGAAATAGATCAAATGATCAATCGATCGGTTGCCTTACTCAACAATGCAGTTTTTAAAAGAAAATAGAGAGGAAGACAAAAGTAAACAAAGATCCAGTATACCGACTTTGTATGAATAGCTTAGTTTCACTGGAATTCTACCATCATTATGATTAAGAAATTTTTAGTAGACTGAAAGCACTTTGCTCTTCACCGATAAGCTTAAGTAGATTGTATCGCAGATTTTATAAAAAATACTTCAGGTTCAATAGCGAAAGATGAAATTAATTACAACCCGGCTTTCGGTTGGCGAAATGCTTGTGATGTCGTCTCAAAATCACCATAAAAACGAAAACAAGAAAGTACGAATCATTTTCGCTGTATTTCGCTCAATCTTGCTATGTGGCTACGAGACATGGTCCATAAGCGAAGGATATTAAGAAATTATCTGCCTTTGACACTAATGTCTAAGACATTTTACAGGTCCGCCTATTGGATAAAATCTCACGTTATTGCATCCGCCTTCGCTTAAATACCACTTGCATTAACAGTACCATCACAGAACGTCGCCTTTGCTGTTAGGGCACGTTCATCGTCATGCACCACAAGAGTTGACGCATATTTCGTTACTTGCTAAACCGTGCGATAGACGACTTCAAAAGCGGGGTAAACTAATCAAAACCTGATACAGTCACGTAAGATTTTGAACGTATAAAAGGATCAGCGATATATGAACTTAAATGAATGGCTACTATTACTATCAGCGATGGCATCAGATCGCGCAGCTTAGGGATCAGCCTAACCAGTAATGGTGAGAACTGTTAGAAGAAGGACTCAAATCAATTTTGCGGAAAAAAATCGTTTGGAAGAAGCGCAGAAACATAACAATTATCCTTTCTAAATCTGCAAGAAAGATCTATGACCTACTTCAGAGTTCCAGAAACTCTGGAAAAAGACTTGCGATTACGATACAAAAGATTGACTACCGAGAATTCGCTTTACAAGTCGCAGATATTTTAAATTTACGCATGAGAAGTAGCCAAAATGACCAAATCTTTTTGAAATGAAATCCACGTGACGGTGCAAAGCCTGTTTTTTCCACGACCTAATAATCTTATGACAACATCTCAACCGCAGTCAGCCAAACTAGAAACGGCGCGTTTTATTAGAAGGAAATCGTAAGATCGAATTAAGAATAAGCTTCCTTACTTATTTTACACCATGAAAAAATTCAGTCATCACCTGCACAATACAACGACCATCCAACACTGTAAAACCTAAATAATTTGACAAACATTCTTTCAAGAAAAACCCACTTGATTTCGCACTCCCTCCTTACGAAAACTATATCACTCATTATTAGAACGAAAAATAGCATTTATGCCAAGAAAATTTCAAATCAAATTAACAGTAATTCTCAGCATTTATTTTAAATATTTCCTGGCGATACCAATCGTTTTAGTGACAACTCTCCTCTTCGTAGCGAAATTCCTAAGAAATTGCCAAGTTTTTATACCCTTTTACAATAAAATGCAAAAGCAATTACCAGCAGTTATATGATGGCCAAACGGATAGTGATCTTTAACTGTGATCCCTGTTAAAATAGTGCTCCACAGAAATTTATCTCTAATTTCATTTGTATTCTATAGATTCCCTTCAGAACATATTGTTTTCCTAAATTTCTTAAATTTAAATAATACAACACAAGTAAGTATACGCGTATCTTTCTTGTCGACTGATCCTCGTTGATCTCTCGCTCCACTGCTGCTCTGCACAAACAAGATGGGCTACATTGGGGATATTATCGGTGAAGTCGGCAGTTAAAATGGCGAACGTAATGAATGATTTGTCATTTTTTAAAATTTTCTTAAGCAATGAGGTATGTGATAGATATTTTTTTGTGCCAACCGAATGAATTGTTTATATATTCATTTAATATGTCAATAAGTAAGGATAACTTCTGATTTATCGGAGACTAAACTCCAAATTTACTATGTTAAATAAAGAAATAAGACGCACTTAGCGTGAGCAAAAAGCCACGATGAATAATTTTCCGAGTTATCCAACAGCAGTTGAGATTGTGACTTGGTTATGTGCTCTGTTTGCAAGCGACTTACCCATACCTACCACACATTCCTTGAATGGATCGGAAAAGTCTCGAAATCGGAAATTAAAATTAATCAAAACAGAATTTATTCCAGTCAATGAAAGAACTGAAGTAAATGAAAGGATCAACAAAATCTTAGGAGAGAAAATAATTAAGCTTGTCAATGTTCTTTCACAGACCAATCGACTCTGGGAAATCAAAATCCCCACTGATCACAAACTTTTTCTTGCTTAAGTCAAGGTCTAGAATGAATTAAATGAATTAACTAAATTCGCTTACTACTTACTATATCCCGTAAACAGTGGTCAGCAAAATGCCTCCGCGCGAAAATTTTGACAGTTATCTATTAAAGTTACTTCTAAAAAGTTATCGATTAAAAGAACAGATTATTATATAGATTATTATCCCCCAGCACCTTTCAACGAAGTGTTATGAATATTTACAGAAGCTTTTAAAAAGATAAGGCGCCAGTCGCGATAATAAAAGAAATTCAATTTCTACAATTTCATCTGATTGAACTCTATATATAATTTGGCAAAAAACAACTCCCGTTCTTTGAATTATGGATTTATCAGCGAATTAAATAATTCAATACAGAAATGGCAAAAACAAAAAAAATTTAAGAAAAACAAACGTTGAATATCAAAGTGCAAAAAGAAAAAATATAAATAAACCTTAGTTCAAGCATAACAAAAGTAACACTGTTTTATCACATGCTTTAAGAGTATTTATAATTAACTATATTCGTTAACAAAAAATTTGACACTCAAAAAAGTTCGTGTAGTTTCATGATGAAATTAAAGAAATCGTAAAATGATTACTCAGGAAAATTAATAAAAAAGTGATCTTTTGACCACTAATAAGGACGAGACTGACCATCGAAGAATAAAAATTCCATTTTTTTCAAATTAGTGGGTCCGATTTTCGGTGGATATGGACATAACAATAGCAAAGATACTTTTCGTATTTGAATATAATAATCCATTTTTCATCGCATCTCCTTAAAAACATCTCATTCCTATGGCTCGAAACATCAACAAGTAGAAACCTGCTGGAGACTACCGTCTTGCCGCCTTGTCACTTAGCGTGAATCCAATTCAATGGTGGCCTTCTACTCACAATCATCAATGACAATCGATCTTTTTTTCGGTTCATCTTTAGCCTATAATTTCGGCAGTGCAATCTTCGTTAAGATGATAACACTGAAAAACCGGGCGAACTATTTGATTAGATTTTTGCATGAAAATTAAATGGTCAATACATACAATATAATAAATATTTAAACACATAATCAAAAATAACTAAATAATTAAAAACTTTCAGTAATTTCCGAAATGAAAATATTTCATTCTTTATGTTATTAAGTACTAAATCATATTAATCGTACTGGCAAAATATGTATTTTCAGCCCCTAATACAAAATAAACTAATCATAAAATTGGAACCACATAGTTATTCGAATGAAAACAATACTTGTTACTCACACCATTAAATCTGATCATAAACATGAGAGAAAATGATGAATGATATCACAATGAATTTTCTACATTTATACTATAAAAAAATCGCTAGCTGAACTATCTTGGCGTTGTGTGGATAGATTCGCAAAAGAGAACAATTCCATCTGAAAAAAATTCTAACGAATAAAAATCCTACAATGCTAATCAACAAAAAAAAAGTTTTGCGAAAACATACCCTATGAAAAATTAATCGATTATCATAATCGACAGCCCATAGACGATCTTTGTGATCGATAGAAATTGCTTTTAATTTAGCAAAAGATGGTTTCCAGTAGTTGCCAGCTGGATTACTGTGCGTCAAACCATGTAATCTGTGTAACTGTCCATTTGAAGATAATGACCACACAACTGAACAACCAACTGCCAAATCGAAAACAGAAGTATTACTTGCCTGAAATGAATGAAATGAAATGCAGAAAAATAATTTTTGAAAAGTGAACGATAATTTTTAAAATGATAGAAGCCGTAATTGAGAGTTTTTAAATTCTGAAATTGGTGAAAACAATATAAAAATAAATTAAGAAAAGAAAATTAATAAGAAATTAATAAATTAACCTCAGTCCATGATTTGCCAAATGGAAACAACTCGCTTATTGCAGCTCTAGACCAAGCACGTCCAGTGCTTGAGGAAAATATCCAGACATATGAACCAGAAGAGGAAGCACGAATCTTAACAGAGAAAATAGCGTAAATCATCTAATTAAATATTTTGCTAAACAATAGTAGATGAAATAAAATTAAACAGGAGTTAAAACAACAACTAATCCTCAAATCCTCCTCACAAATCGAAAAAATAACTAAATCTTACCTGGTCGATATTATCCCCAGGTGGAAGCCTGATTGATTTCCATTCTTCATTTTTAAATGAAAGACTTTTATTTGAGCACATACAAATAACTGAATCTGAGGTCAGCACCCAAACAGATATGGTGCTGACGGCAAATGATATAATAGGAGAGCCTTAAACAAAATAAACAATAAGCTACTTGATTTGAAATAAAAATAAATTTTAAAAATATGGCGAAAAAAATGAAAAAGTGGAAATTGTCTGATTTTACCATAAGATCCAGTGTTAAGCACTTTCCATTCTGCGCCATAAGGTGTAACATCGCAAATATTTGTTTTGACATTAATACAGCCAGATGAATCTAATACATAAGCGGAATGACTCAGGAAGGATAGTTGTTTCACCTAAACGTAAAGAAATCGCTGATTCAGACACTACTGAAAATTCACATTCGAACTCGTTGTCGCCGAATGGCGAAGATAACTAGAAATATGGTCAGGCCATACACGTCGGCTGCTATGTCCCTCTTCTTGAACGAGAATATTGAGAAAGAAAAGAGAGAAAGAGGTGGAAAAAATATTAGAATATATCACAGAATAATAGCAGAGTAGCTCATGAGTAAGAGGTACAATAAGGATATCTTCCATTTTGAGAGAATGAAAGACAAATATGAACCTTTCTCCCGCTCATCAAACCGTATATAAGTTCCCAAGTTTTTTGGGTAAGGTCTAAAGAGCACTGGGGATAGGGACATTGTCGACGTTTTCGTCGTCGTCATTCTCGGGTTTGGACTACCTGGTGCCTTATCCCTTTCCCACAGATTTGCCATCGGGTGCACGTGCCATACCTTTATAAGATTTGCTAATATTTTATAATGCTCTTTTAAAAAAGCTGGCACGAGCGATTTTAGTAGACAAGAAAACTGCCGCATGGTAGGAAGTTTCGAAACCTATGCATGGAGCAGATTCCTGAAGAAGCTTTAAAAAATAGATATATTCCAAGTGGGAATTGTCGAGCTCCCACTAGTTTCTGTACACACCCTTTAATTTAATTTAATATTAATGAAATTTTCAAATTACCGAGTTTTGAAATGTTAATGTGAAGGTCGGCAAGGAGTAAAAATTGCTGGTTCTCATTCGGTAGATGAATAATTCACTATTTCTGCATAATAAAATATATCCTAAAAAATATCAAATGTCAAAAAATATCATTAGAAATTATTGATTTTTTAATGACAATAATTACAATACGATAAACTATATGATGAAATAGGTTACTAGTTTGCAAAATTTTTTTCATTCTTAGATTGAAAAGAACATTAAGATAAATTTAAAAAAATAAAAGCAGTAGAAATTAAACGAGAAAACAACCATCATCACTATTTCCAGAAACATCAGCTGATATCATTTCAAAATAATCATTTGTCGCCAGTCTTTCAGGGACAATATGTTTGAAACGATGACCAGAGACAGGAGTTCTGCTGGATATCCAATAAATTTTCCGACCAAAGCATAAAAAGACTCCTTGAGAAGAAACGCGAATACTGCAGCATGAGAATCGAACATTTGAAGTTTCCAATATTCCTTCCCAAGGACAAAAAACCTTCAATATACCAACATAATAAAACTATTTTTGATTATGAAATTGCTCTTAATCAGCAAACATATTATGAAAGAAGATGAAATGCTTTGAGAAAAACAATCCTGTAAAAATTCAACTCTATAATATATGTTACAGCCAAAGTTATCAGAATAATAACCTGAAGCCAAGAAAAGGATGAACCAAATGGATTTTCAAAACTAACGCCATTTGTAAACCACAAATGACCATCGGTATCAAGCGCCCAGCCACTTCGATCATACAGGCAGACACTTAGCAAAAATGATGGCCCATCAGGCCTATAAAGGAATTTCTTAATGTGTAATAAATAAATGATAAATAAGTAATAAATGATTACTTTAAGTTTGAAAAGAACGTTTCGAAATCATTTTGAATCTAATTCATAACCACTCTTTATCCATTTAAATTTAATGCCACTCTAGTAAAAGAACTACAGATGAATCACCTTCAAACTAGAGTATACACCCTAACGTTTCAAAACTGGCTCTTTCCAGTACTGTTATAATGATTCCACATTGGCTAGGCCTCCATTTTCCTCCTCTAGCTCCTCTATCTCTCTCCCTCCCTCTTATTCCCATTACATTACTTAAACATCTCCGATTGGCTTGTAGCTGCTATCGAGGAAAAGTGTAAGCAGATCAAATGAAGTTAAAGCAGAAAAAAAGGATTAAAGATGAAATTATTGTTGGATTATGGCAATAGAACAGTGGAGTTTTGCAGGTATTAAGGGGGTATTTGATGGAGTTTGATGAAATTTTCAAAGATGTCACAATTTCAAAATAAAGGCAGAGATTTCGCTGTTTGAGGTCACGATTATTTTTTCTTCTGACTCTCACACAAAAATATTATTCATGCATTTCAATGTAACCTTTTCATAATTTTATTCACAAATGATTACGCCCAAAAAATATAAATACTGTATTTTAAAAAAAGCCTCGCAATTCTTCGTTATATAGAAATAAAAAAAATTTAACTAAAAAATAGATTTTATTCAACCAACTCAGCTTCAATCCAGTCGTAACCGGTAGGGCAATATTTTAATCCCGCTCGCACTACTAAATGACCATTACTCGATCTTATTGTCCAAACTGCAGAATCGCTTGCCGTTATGCCTTTAACAGGCCAAGGTGTTTCGCAACGACTTATTATACCCATTTCAGGTAAACGCATTTGAACATATACCTTGATAACATTTGATATAAGTTTTTCTAGGTTAGAAGATATCGAAATTCTTTCACTTAACAATGCTAATGATTATCAAATGAAAAAAGCAAACTAATATTATGAAAAAAATATAAAATATAAGATAAAATATATAATTAACTAAGAAATACTTGATCCGCACACGAAAAAATTTTCGAAAGAATTTGGTAGGACTTGACCTAAGAACCAAAAAGATAAAATTCGATCTAAAAAAACACCAGCGAAGGTAAGAGGGCTTCGTGGAAATACCGGCAAATAGCCAGAGAACAGTAGTTTTAAAATTTTTCATTTTTCGTCATATAAAGATTTTCTTTACATACTGTATTCTATTGTAGTTATTAACAAAAAAATGTGGCTAATGCCGCTTAAGTAAATAAATTTAGCATCAAGACTCTGTATGGAAAATTCACCGTTTCATCTTTAGTAATATACCATGCAGAATTTGATGTCAGCGCTACTTCAACTATTCCACCTCCTTCATTAGCAACTACTTCCCATTTGACATGATTATCGTAAGATTCAGTCCTATGTGATGGCGCATAAGCGATTCCTCCACTAATCCTCCAAAATAGTTCGCCGGAATCTTAAAATATTGTTTCAAAGAAAATGCAAAGTTCAAACATTCTTAAATTTTTAAGCAAAAAAAAATGACAGAAATTTTGCATTTTATTAACTTACCATTTAGTTCTAAAAAATCAGCCGAATATTTCATTTGCGACCATTTTTTATGGTGAATGTTAGCAATGGGCAAAAATCTCGGCTTTTTTTTCCGCTTCGCATGACAAATAAAAATATATTTCGCCGAAACGGCAAAATATAAACAAGGAAAAGGTAGCACCATTTCATTCCATATATCACATGAATCGTTTATTACAGAATAGTCATCACAAATGCTTTCGCTAAACCATTCCACTTTCTTTTCAATATCCTATAACATATATCAAAATTTCGAACTCCTAAAACTTATATAACGGTTAAATACATTAGAAACATAAGACAAGAATTGAACTGAACAATTGAAAATTTTAAATGAGAATATAAACCATATAAATAACCATTTAATTATAAAACTTCTACAACATAACCTGGATTCTTTGTCAGTTCGTCGTATTAAACAAGATTTAATTTTGTATGGTTATGTTAAACTAGATTGTTCAAAATATTATAATTTTAGGTTAAATTTAAATCCAACAAGAACTAATGGGCTAAAATTACTAAAACTTATGTGTAAAACTAAACTAAGGACTCATGATTTTTTTATTCGTAATATTAATTACTGGAATAAACTACCAAACGATTTAGCTTGCGCCTCATCCTTAACTATCTTTAAAAAAGAATAGATAATATCATTTATAATTTTATTTAAAAAGTTCACATCATGCAAGAAGTGTGAAATCTCGATTTTTACCATCCGATTATAGTTATTTCGAATTGTATTATATTATATTATTTTGCAATTTCCTCTTTATTTTATCTTTAAATTGTTTATTTTATTTTGTTATTATTATTTTGTCATTAATTCTTATTATTTGTTATTTTAAATATTGTTATTAATACAAACACATGGCCTGCTTCGTTGGTTTTCAATAAATAAACCAGGAAACGAAAAATAAAGAACTGAAAAGTAGAAAGAAACGAACCATATCTTGAGCGTTAGAATTCAAAGCATTCGTTACTAAATTTATATATGCACTGGTCTCTAAATTTTCTATTTTAGAATCGATCACAGCTTTTTCATTATCGAATATATCCAAGCAATTACATGCTACAAAACCTATTTATCTTATCATCTTATCATTAAAATCTATTTAGGTAATAAATTTCTGAAACAATGCAATCTCAAATAATCTCATAAATACTATAGCGATAAAAATGGATTGCGGTAATGGAATTTAAAATACCAACCTTGTGCACTATTCGCTGTATTACGATCAAAGGATGGCCTCGGACTATTATTTATACGTTCTACATCAATCTATAAGAATATAAGCCACTGATGAAAAATGATAACGCAATAATAACAAGCCAAATATTTAGAAACTTTATTTGCATTACTTCTTTAGCAAATCATTTTGCACAGTAAACAGCTTTGCATCGCATAAAATAAAAAATTAAACTTTGTTTTAACGATAATTCCTAGCAGGACAACAGAAGTATTTCAGACAATTTATCATAAAAGAAAATCTGAAGAAATTGAAACATAAAAAAAAAATTCATACTAGTTGAAGACTTTGGTTCAGATAAGGCGCTAAGATTTCCACTGTTGAATTAGAATATGCCTCTTTTTCTGCTTCTTTTGCTATGTCGCCCAGTGAGGAAGAATTAACCAAACCTACCTCCGCATCCGTCAATGCTGCAATAGTAAAGCCAAATATGAACAGTTTTTTAGCGTAACTTGTAAAGGATAATAATATATGCAAAAAAAAAAATGAAATAAGACCAAAGACTACAGCTTGAAAATTTTGTTTAAAATTTTGTTCAAATTTCAAAAGCGACGTAAGAAATACAAAAACTTTTTTTAATAACATCCAGAACACATTCTTCGAGTGGAGAGAGATCGTCAATCATATTTAAGGAAACATTCGATGAGTATATGTTATTTTCGTCATCCGATTGCATATTGATTTTGAATTTTCTGTTCATTGCATTAACAGTTCGGTTTACAGCAACTGTTTCAACAGATTCATTTATTTCGAGTGCATCTTGATTGGTTATTGAACCCTCGGTGAAAGAAGAATCTCCAATTTCCGGCCGAGGCAGTGAGATGATTCCATCACTTACCTGAAAACACCATAAATGATTTTGCATAAAAAAGATAATACAACAAATAAATGAAAATCAAAAAGTCACATTATTATCCACAGTGCCCAATGCATCCAAAATTTTTTGTGCCAAATCATTTAACCAGTGATTGTTGCCACTATACTTAATTTCCACATCTTGCTTTGAATTCAGAAATAATTCATTACCATTTGGTACTGAAAGACAAAATGCAAAAATGCACTGAATGGCCCTTAGTTTTTTATGACTTATTTTATAAACTTGTATCAAAAGAGCATACTTTTGACCTTGTCAAATCGATCATTTCTTGAAATATCTGATTCTTCCAGTGATGCCAAAATCTCAGCCTCAACAGGCTTTGCTAAACTATCGGTTGCACCTTTACTAGAATTTAAATTCATTCAACAATTCATTCGGCTATTTATTAATTCAACTAATTAATTAATTTATTTACTATATATTTTATATATATATATATATATATATATATATATATATATATATATCAATACTGTAATTATACAATGAAATTAAAAAAAAAATTAGCGACACCTTATCTCTCTTGAGTTAATTAATTCTGCAGATTTCCTAATGTTATTAAATACAGGAATAGTTTTCTGAAGGTTTCGTAAAGGCAGTAGAGCAGAATCTGCAGATGGTTTCAAACGCTTCAAAATTGCATTCGTTGGTGCATATGGCAAAAGTTTCGTTGTCTTCTGCAATGAAGACAAAAGAGCCCAAACACTATCATCCTGTGCTATTTCTTAAAATAATAAAACCAATTAAAAAACAATGATTTATTACGACAGTACCTCACAATCTTTTAAATAAAAAATTAAAAATATGTTACCAAATTACCAAATACTACGACAAATAAGTATAGCCTTTTAAGCCTTTTACAAAAATTTTTCTATATATTAACCTTCAACGGTTTACTATTTGACCATAAAGAGAAAAACTGTGCAAGGATTTTCGAAAGTTTACAGCACTTAATCTAGCACATTTTTCACATTCTTCAAAAGTTTCGCCTATTTGTTCTTTAGAAAAACTATATGACAAAAAAGCGAAAAAAGAAAATTCGACCAATGATGGAGCAAAGAATTATTTTTTAAATATTTCAAGAAAGCTATACCACTAGCACGTGTGAGAGAATCAGGAGCTTTTATAGATGAAATACGAAAAATTCGTCGATCCTCTGTTAAGAAGAAGAATGTTGCGTTATACGGATCAGAATCGATCGCAATATTTAAGATCTAAAAAGCGAAAAAAACGGAAAAAAATTTTTAATAGCTCATAATCTACGAATAATTATCTCTTATAATCGGATAAAAATAAACCTCTGATGAAGCTAATTTCTCACTGATCTCCTCAGAAACGATGAGTCGAAGTTCCGAATCATTTGTGAATAAGAGTAACTTTGTTTTTCTAATGTATAACAAATAATTGCTACCAATTTTAAACAGCTTGTTGGATAATATTTCAAGAGAATTCAACAATAATTCATTTCTACTGAAAAATAAAACAAAGCAAATCCTCCAGAGTTAACAATTCGATTTAACTGTAATTATTCAGTAATAATTACCTTAATGCAAAAACTTTACAGTTAACCAAGCATAACTAACCAGAGATGTTCAACATTATTGGGCTGCATTTTAGTCTGAAAATTTCCGAAAAATACATAACTGAAAAGAATAAGAAAACACAAAATCACAAAATATTGAGAAATAAAAGCTAAAATATGTGAGATCAACTTACTTCGTCGAGATCACGAGTGAAAATGATTCGACCATCAATAATATCGATAAGATGTAAGCAAGCATTCGAAGAAAGAATGAGAGATGCAGTACAATCCTTGTAAACAAATAGCATGCCGATGTCCTCAAAACTGAGCGAACAATTATTTAATAAAACAATTTTAGAAGATGCAAGTGCCAAAAAATATACTTTTTTACTGAAGGCAGAGTTGTAATTTTATGCAATAATTTCATCTTGAAAATATCAAAGATCGATATAAATTTTGATGTTCTGACAGCAACATAATTATTACAGCATATAAAATTATCGACAGGTAATGAATAAGTGTGGAATAAACGCGATATAAAATTGTTCTGAAAAGTCCTGAATAGATTACATTGTCCAGAAATTCCAAAAATTAATAAATTTTTCAATGATCAATTCAACCACAATATTATTGGGTAAAGAAAAAAAAAGCGCCACCAACAGATATCCATTTATCAAATAAAATTTAAAAAATTAAAAATTTTTTAGTGAAATAATCAGAAAAATTTAAATTAAATTCAGTAAAAACCGTATAAAACCAATAACCATGTAAATTATCAGTATTAAACATTAAAATTAAAATTAAAAACTTGCAGTGTCAAAATCGACCGAGGTGACAAGAACATTACCCCCCATATCTGCAGAGACTACCTTTGTTCCATCCTGATTCCATTCCAAACAAGTAATTTTATATCCTTTGTGTTGGCACAATTGTACAGACTGTTCCAACTAAAATTTCAGCCAATTAAGCTACTTGAAAAAAGAAATATACTGAATAATATAAATTGATAACCATGGGACATGAAAAAATGCAAATTAAAATAATTCAAGATTTTAAAATGAAGAACATGATTAGGTCTTATTAATCCATTATTAATCCAGAAAAGACAAAACATTCATTTAAAAAATTGAAGGCAATTTTCTTACTCAATTTTCTACTCAAAAAAGTGAGAAATGGTGCAAGAAAATTCAAGACCTATCATATTTTTGAAGTGCAAATGAAAAATATAGATTTTTCAGGAGCATGCAAAAGATTCTTTCTTGAAGCGTAAGATAGATGTGATAATTATACACAGGAAAAAAGAAGAAACCTTGCGCCTGGAATGGGGATGCAGTGAAGGAAAACGAATAAGAACAAAGCGTCCAGAATTGTGTCCAACTGCAAGAAAATCCACATGTGCGGAAAATAGCTTTACGCAAGACACTACTTCATCGTAATTCGTTCTTAATCTGAATGTTGTTTAATTTCATATAACACCAAAACTTAATAAAAAATAATATCAAGTAAATAAAAAATAAAATATTATTCAAAATAATAGGACTAAATATAAAATTCTCTATGTTATTTCGTTTAAATATAAATGATTTAAATATATTAAAACAATATGTTGAAACAATCAAATGGTCGATAAGACTTTGACACTATGGTCGAATCGACTTTGCTTAAACTAAAGTCATTTCATCACAGGTCCTACTCCAGTCCCTCAACAGAAATAGGATGGTGCTTGTGATCCATCTGTAATTCAATGCTTAAGAGACTCAAGGGAGAAGATCCCATTCTAATAGTCAACCAAACCAGAGATGTTCAGCGCCAAAAGAATATGAAGAAAAGAAACAAACGGTGCTGCATCTCTATTCAGCCGCCGATTGTAAAGGAATAACGCACCACAGTTACTACCAATAACAATGTAATTTAAGCCAACATCGAAGCAAGTGAGTCCAACATTCGTCGTACCCAAAAAAAACGTCGATGGTATCTAAAATATGAAATGAACCGATAGTTCTGAGGAACAGCCGATGAACGGATGGCCGAATTTTTTGCGACTTCGGTGAGCGACGATTTAAAACCTGAGGAAAGCTAGCGGATCCTTTTGAAAACAAAGCAATTTGGTCTCTTTAGTCATTCGCTCAAAAGTCTCAACCGTCGCAGGTCAGATAAGTAAAAATAAAAAGCTATTTTAACAAATAAATAAATAAATTAGAAAAAAAATGAAGACAAACCTGCGAAACTAATGCTTTACATTCGTCAGTGAAAGCAAAAAATTTATTTTTTTCACCTTCGTCAACGTTATTTTCATCCATGCAAACGTTTTTTGGGAATCAATAAAACTGGAAAATTATAAAATTTAATTTTTTAAAAAATATAAAAATAGATAAACATTTTTATCGAAAATAATCCCCTTTTCTTCTTCTTCTAACATCGCCATAAATATGATCAAACTGGTCGAAGCTGACATTTAGACATTTTCAAAAAAGAGTAATTGCGGACTTTGCGGACTCGTTCTACATATAAGTTAAAAAATGTACGAAGTAATCGTTAGAGAGGTTTAAAACAATATGCTAAATGAAGTAGAGGAGGAAGGGGGAAAGTGGGGGGGGGGGGGGGGGGGGGGGGGGGGGGGGGGGGGGGGGGGGGGGGTTGGCGTATAACATCGGCAGGGAGCAACAGGGAAAAAAACTTGTTTTGAGACTGTTTCATTCGTGGAGATTCCAGAGAGATTTCGTAAGACGAAAGAACGCACCTTCAACTGCAGCTCGAACGTCGCCTGGTCACTAAGTATTAAAGTGGATCCAAAATGTCAAAAATCCTTCTATTACTGATGAATTTATTTGAATTGCGATCTTATCAACACCTGGTATATAAGGAAAAGGTTTTCGTTTTACTTATGTAGATTTGGAGGAAAGTTTTCGCTGCTGCCGACACCGATTCTAGCATGTGTTGTAATATCAGCAAAGTGGATAATCATCAGCATATTGGAGATGCGGATGCCATTTGCGATTTGCTTGACCCGTTCGTCAATAAATCTCTTAGATATGGAAGACGTGGAAGATGGAGGAGTTCGCAGCAGCCATTCGGATTTTATTTTAATTTACTCTCATTCAAGCAGAGAGATAATTTCGTGATTTCGTGATAATTGATGAAATTATCGAGGTAGAAGATTTATAAAATTCTTAGGGACTTTTATTCTATGCAATATATTGTCAAAGGTTACCAATAAGATTCTTGGATCTTTTACTGTTTAAAAACAATTTGGTGACCAAACTAAAATGGAAATATAAACTTAAAAGGGAAGGGAGAAATGCACGTTTTCTGGTTTGGCATTAGGATCACTCCTTCGGCCTGGAATTAAAACAATATAAGTATAAGGTCGGTCACGGACTGTTACTGCTGACGGTTGGTTATAATCGTAAAAGTTGGACATAAAAGGACGCGAGAATTATTTTAGTCTTGTTTTAATATTTCTCGTACCAATCACTTTAATGTTTACTGGTTATAAGAGTTTTTATTAAAATGAATTTCATTGTTTATAATAATTCTCTGTGAGTCGCATAGCATGAAAAGTTTTAAGAAATTATTACAGTGGTTAATATAAATAATGAGCTCTATGAAAATTGCTAATTATTCACTTTTTTTCGTATTTTCTTATTTATTAGCACAGAAAATTTTTTTTCGCACGCATAGGCCACAGAAGTCATGATAATAATTTTAATGAGGTCATCAACTGTTGACTTACTGGCAATATTTGCAGTTATGGTGCTCTTATTGTATTTTATCTTTGCAAATCTTCGCTGAGTGTCACTTTATAGACAGAAGTACACATGCGACAGCCCACAATTCATTTTTGGTGGTAGGTTTGCTTTCACCAAGGCTGCAGAAATTTGAAGTTTGTTGCCCTATTGGAAACTATCTTCTGTCACCTATTCCATTAAAATATATAAGTACAGCATTTTTATAATTATGCGGTTTTTTCATAGCAAAGTTTCGCAATCTCGATTATAAACTTTTTTATTTCTTTATGGATTTGAATTATAATGAGGATAAGAAAAGAGAAATCTTCAATAAAGTTTTTTTAACTGAATCTCTTCGTTGTTCAGCCAAGGTTGAACCACCACTATTATTTCGAATTTCTGAAATAATTAAGCTTAAGGTAGGTAAAACATTTGTGGCGCAGGAAGCTCACAAATAATATTTACAACTCAGATGCCTTATTTGTGTTTACTGTGCAATTTTGCTGACCTTTTGCTTCCTAAAAAAATGTTTCATTTAAAAAATATCTTATTTAAATGCCCACTTTGTTTTGTTTTCTCTGAGGGTGTTCACCATTGTTAACCCACTGCGCTGGTTTATCGAATCAAATAGATCTTATCAGGGAGTCACTTGAGGATATAAATAAAATGTGTTGCCAGCATCACCCAGATTTTGAAGTGGAGATTTACTCTTACAGTGGGGTAGAACTCCAGCATCTGCATTCCAAAATAAGCAAGCCACTGAGCCACTGCTTCCGCCATTGGAGAGGACGCTACCGCTCGACGAAGTCGGTCGGAATTTCGAACTCGATCAATTATCGGTTCACGTTGACCACTATCTTTCCATTAAGCCACACAATTTTCATTATTATTATGGTTGTTCTTTTAATAATTGTATTATATCTGATTTCCCTTTCGCTAGTTGGATCTCTTGAACATGGAGCTATTAAAGGAATTAAATCATTACCAAATCGATAGTAATCTTTATCATTTGCCATATTTACCTGTTAAAAATTTGCATCAATTTCAATTATTTGTACACTTACCGCATGCTATATTATTATCGTTGTGTAGTCAATAAATTTATGATAAATTATGAACATTAACCTTCTTGCAAGTAGACCCGACCAAAATCACATATCTTGTTCCAGCAACTATTTGAGATTTGGCCTCTTGGATTCTGATTAATTTCGTATATAATGGACTATTAGTCATTTGATTGATCTTCTCGACAGTTTTATTGGCATAATTTTTTAATTTTTTTGATAATTTTTTGATAATTATGAGCGAAGCAGTTGCTTCAAAATGTTCTTATACCTATATTATTTGGTCATCGAAACTTTTTGAAATCAGATGGCTTTTTATTTTACTTTTTCCAACATTTCGTTTATTGAATAGTAAGTTTGGCAAAAACTGCTTTAAAATCATTTTGAACATTTTCATCCAAATATTTTTCACTGGCCGATCTGCTTACTTAAACCTTACTATGCCCTTTACGCGAAACTTTTTGGAGTTATTTTCGCATTCATCGTGTTATTTTACACGTTTACATTTGTATAAAGATATTCTGTTCACTTACAAACAACGACACGTTAATAAATCAATTCTGACTAGAAACTTTTCGAAATACACCAGTCAACAAATCTGACAAATTGCCGATAAAATCTCGAGGAACCCCATGCATAGATTTTAAAATAGTAGTACGATTTTAACATTCTAAGGTTGTTGAATGCTAGAATTTCATAATAATATTAATAATATCCGCTGATCATTTCATTTGCATAGCGTACTATACTGCTTCGCGGAAAAATTAAAAACAAGTTGGTGGATAAGTCAATAAATCATAAAAAAACATGCATCCAAATAACATTTTTTTCAAAAAATCCTCACCATTACTGGCTAAATATGCTCCGCTGACTTGTCGCAGTGGACAAATATGTTAGAGAATCCCTTAGCGATAGAAGTACAGGTGAATCGCATTTTTGAACAAGTTTACTCCTGCTGGAATAGAACCTCATAGGCATAGGCACTCCGAATTGAGCACTAACCCACAGAGTATTCTGTCCCTTCTAACAGCTCTCATCATAACTGGTTAGGCTGGTTCGGCTGCCTAAGAGAGTAATGTCTTCAAGCTGTTCGGTCCGACGCTATCGCTGACAGTAATAGAAGGGACCATTCCATTTTCCATCGTCTAAGTCCATGTATCAGTCCCTGGTCCCTGTATACGTTCAAAATCTTTCTTGATTTTATCAGACCAAGTCTTCATTGGCTTTCCTTGCTTTTGACGCCAACCATCACACGGTTTAGCAAATAACGAAATACGCATCAACTCCTGTGATGGACGACGGAGAATGTGCCCTAACCAGTGAAAGCAACGTTCTGTGATAATATTATTAATTCAGGTGATATTTGAACGAAGATGGATACAATCATGATTTCATCATTTCACTGACCTCCTCTCCAGTTATAGTTGCTTTGTGAAGAAGGCGATATAATTTCCTATTATCACCTATCCGAGTGACCGCCTCCATTCTCAAAACCATATTGCTCCAATAGCGATTTCGATCCCGCCATGCTGCTGTCTAAAGTACCCGATAGTCAGGATCTCCTGACATTCGGGTTTTGGCAGCTTTTTTCAGACAGTTGGATAGTTGCTTCCGACATCCAGCGCTTTTCTACTAGTATACCCTAGTATGGAAGTGGCTGACTTTTGTAAGCATGTCATAGTTGGGACGAGTATTCATCCGCTATTCCAGAGATATCATTAACATTTATTTCACTGTTTCAATAATAGGGTTTGAAATGCGCTTATGCTTTCGCATCTTTGAGATTAATTTGAGATAGTTGAAAGATCTTGGGATACATTGTTTCTTACGTTTTATGCGAATCTTGCTCGAACCAGAACATGGTCTGGTCCATGACGGTTACCAGTTTCAGTGCCCTAATAGAAACGACCATCAAGCACGGAATTTTTCCAACGGTGACTCACCAATATATAATTAATCTGATTGAAACATTGGTTATCCGGAAAGTTCCACGTGACTACATATCTTCTCCGATACCGGAAGCATTAGCAACAAAGAATTCATGCTGTTCTTCAAAACGAAGAAAGTGCACTAGATCCCGATGCCATATTTGCCAATTACCGAATTCATCGTAATGGCATTATGATCTGTGCGCGGATTCCAGTCTCCTCCGATTATGACCATGTCCCCCCTCGATAGAGATATTATTAATAGCTCCGCATAAAACTTATTCTCATCGCGGTCATAAAATTGGAGCATATACACTGATAACTGAAATATTGCAGAACTTTCCTTTGAAAGCGCGTAGGCCGTGTGATCATTTACTGGCTTCCATTCAATCAGAGTGAATCAAGCCTTTTCAGATATGGTAATCGCTACGCTATTTCGCCTTGAATTATCCAAAATATCATTGTGATATGATGTCTTTGCTCGGAATCAGATTTGGAGCCGACATGAGAAAGACGGATTTCCGACAAACAAGCCACATCCACACGACATTAGAAAGCGTGTGGACAGTGATCGTTTGGCTTGCAAAGTCCATAAGCGCTCTGTCATTCCAAGCAACTGGAGCCAGCGCCTCGTCGCACCTACAAAGTGTTAATAGATAGATTCTCGTCTCCTTGACGGATTTTGAGTAATTATCCCGGTTCGCGAGCAAATTCTGCTTGTGTCTTTGAATTATTTTATTATTATTATTACGTCCGGATCGTATATTTATCGCATGCACCTCCGGGTCAAAAATATCATACGCGTCGGAAGACGAGGTCGTTGCGTCAAAGAGACCCTTACACCGTAGAATCACTTGGGGATAGGGATACAGGTCGGTTCTAAGCAGCCACCTGGATTTTTGATACCATGAAAGGTTTACTCCTTAAAAAATAGAGATAATTAAATTTAAAAAAAGAGAAATTTAAAGAAAATTTAAAAAATAAAAATTTTAAGAAAAAAAACTCTATTCCTTATGATAAAATATAGCTAATATTTGCTATACAAAATATAGCAAATAATATATAGCTAGTTTAATGAGAAATTGAAAGAAAACGAGTAAAGGACTGAAAACTGTTTGAAAAACCTGGAAATGAAGGATCTAAAAGAAGAATGTCAGATGAAGTAAAGGAAATTGCAATATACAATAATAAAAATACTTAAAAATTTAAACCATAATTTCTGGGTCACTGTCCGTTAATGGCAAAGATATAAAGCCTCCTGGTATAGAACTTATTGATGATTGAATTATCACAGCAATGGAGATCAGCTGAACAAAATAAGGCATCGCTTCGAGTAGCTTTGTGAATAATTAAGATTTGTTAAGCACTTTTACTATCTATTTATTTCCATCCGAAGAAGTTTTTAAATTAGAATAAGTCTGATTAACTGGTTCTCAGTATACCTTAAAGAATTGGAATCGTTATTTCTAATAATTTAGCATTTGATAAAATTATGAAAATCGTATTTATTTTATTTTGTTGTATATATCATCTGTTTTTTGGAAAAATAAATTTAAATCGTTTATACAAAGTTCTCTGAATGATTACTGTTACTTCCTCTGAATGATTACTGTTACAAAACTAGCTTGAAATTACTTCTCGTCTTATCTACGTTGAAGCTATATAGCACTATAATTGGAGGATCCGCAATTGTAATTGTAATCTTTTTAAAATTTTTGTTTTCAATCATAAAAAGTAAATAAAATATCAGATCAAACGAAAAAAAAGGAAAAGTGGGAAAAATCAAGTCTTTTAAAAGATAAAGCTTTACATGCTCATATCACAGACCATGAGATCAGAAGAAGATGAAGTATCATTTTTAAGAACCAACCGTAAAATTTCTAAAGTATGATAACAGGATTGCTTTGAATTGCATTATATATCAGTCGTCAATAAAACAAACTGTCAATGAAAACTGTTCACGTCTCAAAATCTAAAATTTCAGCAATGTTGTATTCGTGAATTGAGCAATAATAAATGGAAAACATTCCGCTCAGCGATATATTTCTTTTATATTTCTAAGACTTGTATTGTCAGTGAAACTTCCAGTTGTTTAACAGTGGAACATTTCCTTGGTCTTTTATTCATTATGCTGCAAGTGTTGCAATGATTAACGAATTGCCTTTTCAAGGGAATTTTGATTATAGCTTTTTTTCACTTGTTTCAAATTATTTTAAACTTTACAAATTCTACCTCCTAACTTAACTTTAACTTTATATCGCAGTTGATTACAGTCGTTCAGAGTCAAGAGTTATATAAGAAAACTTGATGAGCATGAGTTGGTTTTGATAAAGATGCTTTATAAATTTTTTGAGTCGCAGTCAATATAAATAGAACTAACTGTATTGATATTGATACATAAAGTAATGAAGAAGCATGACGATCAAATATTTTAATTGAGATCTAGCCATAATAGGTTCGATTCCTAGTCCTTGATGAGAGAAAATTTGCTTTTAAAAGCGAAATCCGAGTGATGCTGGAGTGCTGAAGACATCTACCTTCAATAGACTCTCTGGGAAGATCTTAAATGTTTAGTGCTGCTAGAAAGCAATTAAAAAGAAAGCAGCTGATGCAAGCTTAAATTTTTAGAAATTAAATTTAAATTAAATTAATTTTTTGAAATCCGCTAAAGCTATTTCGATTTTCTGCTGACTGATTCGACCAAGAATCTAGAACTTTGATCGCTGTCAATATTTTTTGGTTGCAAACGATATATTTTTGTGCATCTTACATTGCTCACGTTGCTTTTTTATCTGGCATTTCACACTTTTTGCTCGATTAGAACATTTGTTTTATTTTATTAATGAATTTGCTTTGAAAAAGCTTCACATGTTTGTTTAATTTTTTAGTTTAAAAGTATACAGTAAACTTTATAAGATATTCTAATATTTTACAAAATCGCCAAGAAATTTATTCGAAAAAATCAGATATGCACGCATACTCATAGGCCGACATCCTCATTTTTTCCTATTACCACTCATTTCGAATTGCTGTCGAATTAAAACGTATTCTTGCGCCGCCGCAAATTTGTCAACAATCATTGATATTGGAAATGCGAGTACAATGATTCCCGAGATACTTGCAGCAATTGCTGTGATCTTTCCAGCTGTAAATTTATAAATTCGTTATATCAACAGTACAAGCAATGTCATATTTTTAAACTTTCATTAAATGAATTCATTCCAAGATAAGTACTGCCAAATTTAAAGAATAGAGAAACAGTTCTGAGAAACTTATGCAATTCACAAATCACCACATTATTTGCTCATATGAATCATTAGCTTAATTCGAGTGGGATTTTCAACAAATAGTTCGAACTGAAATAAGAAATAACAGGAATTTTCTATAAAATTCTTTAACTATCTCCACTTGTGACCCAATTCTTTTATATTTGCACTAACATTGTATATATATATAATCAATCAGCGAAATCCTATAACAAATGCATTTGCATATAATGCATTTTTAAAAAAATTTCACCATATTTATTTAACGATTTTAATAGCACATTTTAAAGAAAATTGCTTAGATCATAAAAATTTTTTGTTTTCTTTTTTTTCAGAGAAAAAATTGGACGAAGTTCCAGCTTATCGTTTTTTTTAAGCACCGTTCAAACTGATTCTATGAGCTTATTTTTTTCCTATATCTGCGTTGAGCTTACAATGTTCAATGCGCAAATCAAATAAAAATTGTATAGAAATTATTTTTTCTTTTTAAGGGTATAGCGTATCCAAAATTTGTAAACAAAGTAGTTTTTTTTTTTAAATTAGCTAACAGATGTGAATTTTGTAGGATTGAATATATTAAGTAGCTGATTCATTATTGTAAAGATTGATTTTTTTAAATGAATTCTTTCGATTTTTTCCAACATGTATGTTGCTTCGACTGTGGTCAGGCATCATGAGTTCGGATTCTTCTTCTTGACGAGATTAAATTTATCACTAAAAGTACATTCGACAATGCTAGGATGGATGATCTATATGCACTCTTATCCTCAAGTGACTCCCGCATCCTAACCACTGGAAGAGACTAGAAACGCTAAATGCTGATAGATGATGATGAATCTAGCATGAGAGTTCCCAAAAGGACAATGTTGCTTCTGTTAGTCGCCGAATGGTTTAGGCGAAATCAAATCTGGGCCGATTTTTAGTAACACGGCCTCTTCTTCAGACAGAGATGCCAATGTTTAAAGAAGTCGGTCAAAAATCTTCCTTCCGCACAGTAAGAGCCTTACGTACCACATCTAGTCATTTGGGAATGCGGCGATGCTAGCGTTGCCGTATCCATGTCTGCGTGGCTCAACATAACCCACATTCCCTAAAATGTTCCATTTCATTGCATTTTCTGCACCAATTAAGGGATGGAATTATGTTAACTGTAGTAATGTGGTGTTTTGTATAATCTCGATAATAAAAGGTTTTATGACCTAAGTTTGAGGTCCAGTCTTCTGCAGTGAGGTATATGTAATTAGAACATTGGTCGCAGGATGTATAGTGATATTATTGATAAAGAAAATTATCGCATGGTAGGAAGTCTCGAGGTCAATACAGACGTGGAGTGGATCGTTCCACTTTCTGTGCACGTTATTCAGTGGACCTCGAGGAGTTGGAAGTTAGTTTCAACTAGGTGAGCACGCATTCAAAAGTTTTCCTTATTAACATGCAAAATTTTTCTTGGATAAAAATTTAAACATTTCAAAAAATTTATTTAGTTACCATCTTAAAAACTTTATTTTATTAGTTTACTTGAAAAATTTTCATAAATTGCATAAATAACATAAATGTTCTAAAGAGGGTTCGGAATAAATATTTGGATATATTTATAGGGATTTATACTTTTATAGGGATCGATAAGCAAAATTTTTCTTTTGTATGAAGTCGAAACACGAAAAATATTGAGAATTTCTGTTCTAGCACAAACCCTTTTATTCATTTCGCCAAATGTCGAATTAAACCAATCTTTCTTAGTGCGATTTGTATAATTTTAAAATAATTGTAAAAATAAAAACAAACAAAAAGACCTGTTGTAAGAGGTAATGTATCGCCATAACCAATCGTGGTCATAGTTACTCTAAAATAGCTTCATAATTTCGTGAAATTAGAAAACAAAATTACCCGTTTAATACTTCCCTGATTTCGGATTAGGAAATCTATTTATTTGAAAATTTTCCCATTATAAAAAGAAATATTAGAAAAAAGACCAAAATCAACTATTATATGGAAAAACCTACATACACCACCAACATGCGGCAGGAATACTGTTGAAATAAGTATCAGTTTCATCTTTTTCTAACATGTACATTACAGTTGAAAAAAATATAATACCAGTTATGAGAAACATGCTTAACATTGTTAATTCAGGTGCCGAGTAAAGAAGTGTGTTACCAAAAATCTGAAAACTTCCTAATAAGATTGATCTATTCATTAGTTTATAAAGAGAAAGAGTTTATAACCATTACAACATACTTGTAATCCACTGCTGTACCTTGCTAACTTGAATACCCTCATTATGCGTAATACTCGCATAATCTTGGCAAATAACAATGCACCTAAAAAAGCTTGCATTTTATGACACTTCGTATTTTTATTAAAATCCAAACGATAAGTTCTTTAAAGAATTCAAATAATTAATAATAAAGAAAGCAACTGCAAAAGTTACCAGCGATTTGTTTCAAATTTTCTACTTCGGTCCCAAGTATTTTGGAGAAAATTTCTATATAAAAAGGAATTATTGCGCTTAAGTCAATCATATTCAAATAATCGGTAAAAAAATGAATTTTTCGAGGCGATATTGCCAATCTTCAAAAACATTAAAATTTGTAAAATAATACAAAGCATTCTTGCCAAATGAAATTATATCGTGGTTCAACGAGATTTGTATCATCAACTTGGTTCACGATATATCAAATCAAATAAGAATAATAAGAAATACATAGAATTGAAATTTAAGAAATATGGATCATAAAATCAAACAAAAATTTGAATCAACTAAGACGGCCATTCGCTCAGAGACAAAATGGTACAACAAGACTTATTTCCAATTTATTCCACTTTTTTACTTTCAGTAATATTACTCACTACCGAATGCTCACTATTGTAAATGTTGTGAAAAAATGGAATAGGTGATAAAAAATTAACCTCACTAAATAATCCATTGTAAACCAGGCCATACATATATATTCAATAACAACGATAAAAGTTGCAGGATTATCTGTTGCACGGTAAATAAATGAAGGAAATTTTTTTTTGAAATCATCTGATGAATCGAATTTCGAACTAGTATCACCATTTTGATTATAACGATGCATCAAATGGTACAATGAAGCATTATGTGCATCTTGCTGGAACTCAGGCATAGTGCCTACAACAAGTCCTAAAAATTTGGTAATGAAAAATTTCAAACAATACCAGTTTAAATATTTGGTAGGTCTAAGGCATTACTAACTAAATCGTTCTAATCCTTAAATTCTATATCTGGTGTTTTTTCGATTTTTGCATAATTTCATACCAATATTTTTCACCGATTTTAAAATACAACAAACTTAATCTATAAGATTAAGATCTATAAGATATGTGACCATTTGGGTGACCATTGCTGATTACTCGCTCTACTGGCTTATCGAGTCAGGAGAACTTTGCCAAAAAATTTTTCAATTGGTGATATAAGCATAGATGCCACTAGAATAGCCTTTGTTTTGGTTTAGTCTCCTACTTGGAGTAAAGCCCCGGGATCAATCCCATTTTGGTTAATTCTGAAATAAAAGGAATAACTGGATGATTCTGACATAGCTGTATAAACATAAAATTAAGTATTGAAGCGAAAACCTATTACTGAAGTAAGAATAAATATTAAGGACAATGCTGCAAAAAATTTAGCGATAATTGAAGAATGAGGAGTTTCCATAATATTCCACAAAAAACGTCTAACCCGTTCCATTTGGCACTGCAATAGTACTGAGTAAATGTTAAACCGTTGTTTTTCTCTGGTCAACTTCTAATGTAGATGAACTAGCTAATGAAATCTTAGACATAAATCTTAATTAATTTTTGTAAAGTGTCTAGTTTGTCGAAAAATCTAACTTACAGTGTTTCATTATCAGTTGTAGCTTTAGAGACGTCATTTTTCACTCACTGGTGAAAAGATATATTTCGAATGAAAGGTGAATAAAAAATAAATAGCTTACCCCTGCTAAAGGATCTCCAATTTCCTTCATTGATTTAGATCTGTGAAATCCAATGAACATTGCGCAACAAGGAGATATCTGCAGCAGAGATAAGAGATAAACCCACATCCTTTGCAGAAGTAGCTTGTGCAAAAGTTTTTCAGTTAAAATATTGCATAGGATATTAAAAAATGGCAAGTTCTAATTGTCTAAAGCAGCAGTAATTTCTTATATGCACTAAGAGAAACACTTATATGTACTTCTTACGCTGAAAATTGATAAAATGCTTGTTCAGATTAGTGATTTTCAATATTTTTGCCTTATGGCTCCCTTTATTTCATTTTTACAGGAGGGTAAGTAAGAATTGGATTGGTGGCTCGAAAATGATAACTGCAAATAAAGGACTTCGCTTTTTAATCAATAAGTATTGTCTCATTCTTTGAAAAAATTGATTCATTTGAAATAAAAAATTTATGCATCTCAAAAAAAGCCAAAAAACGAAAAACTGAAAAATAAAGTGGAAAAAATTACACAAAAAAATGTCCTATTAAAAATAAACTTAATCCTAAATTCAAAATATATTGCCTTGGACGAAATTTTGTGATGAAGCCATTATTGTATATTTCTCTGGAAATTCGTTAAATACAATCGAAGCTTTCTCCTTTTATCACCACTCCTTTTTCCCGTTTTTCTCATCTATATTCCTCACTGTCATAGGATTTTCAATTAGGACTTTTACACAACACTTAGAATTAATTTTCAAAATAGAAAATAAAACAAATTTTTATATTGTTTTTCATAACCTGGCGCGATCTCCCATATAACTCCGTATCTCTCCATTTTTTTCAAGTTTTTTTTAGCAACTTCTCTGAAGTGTTGCATGGTCTCATTGAGAACCACTGTTTTAGATCACCAGGAACTCTCACTAATAGTAAAAGCAGGTAAAATCCAAAATTTTCAATTCACAGCACCAAAGATGATATGTTTTGATCAACCATTCTTGTGGCTCGAATCATCATTCATTAAGAAAAATATGGTTCATTTTAGCGATGCAAAAGGCAAAAAATTGAAAAAATTTTCTGCTAAAAAAGCGCGAAAGAAGAAAGAACTTTATGAAGATATTTAGAAAATAATAATTAATAAAACACTAAAATTAGTCTTTCCGAGGCAACAAGCGAATTTCTAAAAGAATTTATTCGATTAGTTAAATGATTAGTTAAATGACCCACCTGATCAAGTCCAATGTTCCAATAGTCCAATTCTTCCTTAAATCGTATAGGGCAAATGTTTAGAGGTGTGTGCAAAATTCCTTCAAGTTATCTGATTTCTTCTATTGCAGTCATCATATTAGATTTTTGACAAGAATGTGGGTGGATTACCAAAATCATTTAAAGCCAGAATGAAGCTTTAACCATTAAAGATCACCTAATTTGATATGAAATTCACTCATCTAATGAATAGCTTTCATGATTTCGAGTTTGATTTATCAGTTTCTTGATCAAGGGTACTTAAAATTTACCCGTTATATAGTAGTCTATAATTGGACTAGCAACTGAAGTGTTGCGTTCGAAGTAATATTCTTCAGTATCAGATAAATAATCGTCAGAAATTTTTAAGCGATTATGATGATCAGCTTTAGCTAGAGCCACTAAACGCGATTGGTCTTCCCGATTAAAGAATTCATTCGGATTCAAGAGAAAGGACCGATTACCAATTCGTAAGCGAAAAACACTTGCTAAAATTGATGTATATAAATCCCTATGATTTATTGGATATTTTTTTACTGATTCCATAATTAAAATATTGAATGCACTCATAAAATCTCATCAAATAATAAATTTTCTCATAGAAAATTCTTGCCATTGAAGCGAAACTTACTTTTATTTATGTGTGACTCGTTAATTTTCCTTCTTATTTTTGATTCGCAACTCCTATTATGGCGAAGCATCGATTGTTTTAATTCAAAATCAGGCCACTAAAAAAATTTTCCTTAGTTTTTATTAGATAGAACTTAAGTTTTTGCCAAATTTTTGGAGGTTGGCAAATTATTTTGTTTATTTCATGGTATGAAATCCTTCGAAATCTCTGAATCGATCCACTTAAAAATAGGATAAAAATGCAAGATATAAATAGTCCCATGATATTGAAATAGCAGAACAAGATGTATGCATTTTTTCCTCAATTGAATAGATGTATGATATGTAGCTTCTATTAAACTTCACGAGTTCGATTGTTCGATTCTTATCCCATGATAGGAATAAAGCTGCCAGTTAAAAATATATGAGATATACTGTGGATACACCTGCAATTCTATCTCAGTCTCTCCTGCGAAGGTAACCAATCTACTAGTCATCAGCCAGCCAAACCAAAAATTGTCAATGTTATTAGAAGAATGATAGGATCGATATTTTCTTATCCTTTTCGCAAATGAATAGGCAAATAATTTTGTTATAAACAGATAAATGATTAATACAGAAAGGAAATTATTGTACAATAATATTGGTTATCATCAGGAATATTGATATTAAGAATTTTCTTTTCTAAGAGCGTTCATTGATTAGGCTGGCTTTATTGGCTTGCGCAAATAAATTGTGCCAGAAAGTCACTTGGCGACAGAATTACGAGTGAGTCGCCAGCATCACCCAATTAATATGACTTAAACAAATGGTAATGAATAAATCAGATATTGAAAGATGCTGTGATGCAAAATAATTTATCATTTACTGGAAAACCCAACAAATTAACAGTTCTTTACCACCGAAATATTTTAATTATATGCCAAAATTAAAAAATCGTGGAAAAAAAAAATTATAGAATATAAAATTGATGGCAAACCAACTGTAGCAATTGACACGATAACAAAATGCATCTTTTACTAAGCTTTATCTTACTGCTTCATTTCCATAAATCCCAAATCTAACATAGCATTGTTCATAAAATTTATTGCAGTTCAACCAGAAAAGAATTAAAAGCGAGAAGAGTTGGAGCCATGGATGTGAGCAATTTATGCTTGTATTACAAGTTGAAAAATGAATTTAATCGTTCATGCCACCGAAAGAACCAAGGATGGAAGAGAGGAGCAGGAGGAGCAGGAAACACACTCGTTGAAAAAAAAACTAAGAGAAAAAGGATATTAGAGTCTAACACGAACGAATCAATGAACTTCGATCATTGCTTTTTACAGCGAATAAATATTTTTCCAGGAGAAAATTTCCTTTTAATTATATGCCAGAAATAAGAAATCCTATCGAAAAAAATTGTATAGAATATAGAAAAAAAGAAAAATTTTACATAGAATTTTAACATAATTGAATCCGAGGGATTTGAAAGACTGTAAAACTTTTTTTTTGCTTTTAAGTAATGAGTTAGTTATTAGCGTTAAGCAAAGATCTAAAAATTTTTATGAGAACATTTCCGATATCAGTGAAATTCAAAATAAATCGTCCGTTGCACATGAATAGCAGAAACAAATACAGTTAACCAAATTCCAAATTCGTTGCGATTTTCAACGAGGATTTCCTGAAGAGGCATCCATTATGACTCAGCATAACCCCTTTCCAGATTTACGAGTATATAATTGTGATATAACGAATTATACTCGAATAAAGCTGATTAGACAACACTTATTCATTTAATGAGCGAAATTTAAAACTGCAATGATATAGCAGTGATTTGGTACGTATGAAAAGTGTAAATCTTACAAATTCAGAACTAGAAATTAGTAAAGGTCAGAAGCTGAAAAAAAAAACGTTTGTTGAAAATTTACGAACTTGGCTGTCGACCACAGCAACAAAACCGACTGTTATATGAAAGCTGTGATAAACTAATGATTTTAATTAGTTGAATGAAAGATAAATTGATAAATTGATTAAAAGAAATTAAAAGCAGAAAATAATATCGATCAGCATCTAACATTTTAATGAAAATTTGAACTTCGAACTCTAAATTGAATTTTGGAATCTCAAAGACTCACTTTTAACCGCGATCGTTTAGTAGATCGATGCATTATTCGCGATTTCAATTGTCTATCCTAAAATATTTATAATTATCGCTATTTTGAGCCATTTTTTGCATAAAATAGCAATAAGGTAATTCATCTGCTTTCGTCTCGAAATGCCAATAGAAATATTTTTTTACCGAGCTCATTAACTCAAAAAAAAGAAATCATATATTCTTTTAATTTTTCTATTCGTTGCTAATAATTTGGAAATTCATTAGAAAACTCTCTATACTTGGAAGTTGGAAGTCCTCTTGCGGAATCACGGATATAACCTTGACTGTCCTATTGCAAGATATTTCGTAATGGCGAGCATAAAAGAATATGACGTTAAACCAAATGAAGATATTTTCTTAAAATTATAAATATTCATAAATTATTGAAATTATTCGAGACAATTTTTTTAAAAGAGAAGCAGATAAATATATGATATTTGTTTGTTTGAAATAAAATGAAAGTTAGATTAAAATAAAAATCTGGTCGCGAAATAACGAACTAAATGAAATCGTGAAAAAAAATGGAAATTGGCACAATTAAAAAATAGCATAATAGCATCGACCAAGTCTTTTGCAATCATAAATTTTTAAAAAACATGAGTTTTACGTTGGGTCTCATGAGTCTCCATGAGAACATAATTGAGATAAGTAAAATATAAAATGATGAGTTTGAAAATGAGTTTGAGTTTGAAAACTTGAAAAGTTTGAAGCATTGGGTACAATTTAACGGCTTAATCTGTGAAAAAAAGGCCCCAAAAATCATCACTCAAGAACTTAAGAAAAAATTTACAAAAAATTTAATGTGTCAGATTAACGGGCGAAGAATGGTTAAAAAATTAAAAAAAATTCTTGCGCGGAGATTAATAAGTACTATCCTGACATATGACCCTACATTTAATTGAAAGCTAAGGCAAGTTGAAATCGATATGCGACTATTTATACATATACTCGCATCATTAGCAAGAGGCAAGCTGCTCACTTTTTTGACTTCAATGAATAGCAAACTGCTGATTAATCTTGATTAATCTTTTTAAATGCCCGTTTAGTGATAAGGTTAGTGAATTTTCGCATGTTAGCCTAACCCTAAATGAATCGTTTTCGTGAGAGTTCCTGAGAGTTTATTCTCATTTAACTTCGAAAACAATAGGTAATTCGACCAGAAAGAAGAATGTTTTATTATAGGTTCCATCTCTTTATTCCTTGTGATTATTAAAGGCGAAATTTTAAGGTGGTGCTAGCGAATCATCTGTACTTGTCTCAAATGATTCTTATGGAATCACTTAATGAAGCCAGGTAAACCAGAAGGAATAAGTAGTTTGACTAGATCCGTTGATTCCCACTTAAATCTGAAAAGAACTGTTAAATTCTTTTTTCTCGATTCCATAGCACCATTAAGAAATTTAGTTGTTTTTTAACTTGCTATATATAACTTGAAAATGAAATCCATATAACGGATTCTATTAACAGTAATAAGTAATAAAAAATTTATTGCCAGTAACGTAAATGATAACTTAAACCTAATGTAAACAAAAAGTACAATCCGAATTTAGAATATAAAGGATCAAGATGAAGAAAATAGTATAGTTTAAGAAAATAGTTTCATTTACATTACTATTACTATTACGTTACATTCCATTCACAGTTGCTAACTATCTCTCTTTTGGATGGAATAACTCGCAAGCACATAGCTCTTCTAGGCGAAAACTTCTGGATTAAGTAAAAAATAATCAATAATGATCAAATTGAATGCGAAATTTCGATGGAAATTTAAGTTAAACTTTTTGTTAAAATTCTATGATTAAATTCTATGACGATGATTAAAATTTTAAAAATTATACCAACGAAATAGTTATTTTTTGTTAACGAAGAAAATTTTGAGGTGATAAAGAAATATTCGACCATCATCACTTATTGCTGTTAATCACCTATTGATTTTTTGATAGCTATTCATATCAAATCTTTCTGATACAATAGCTTTGGACTGATCTCGATGCTGTTTGCTTTTGTGCCCACTTGGCAGAAATTTATGGTAGGACGTTTTGTGGAAATAAGATAGTGCAAACAGAAGTCGATCGTTGATTTTTAGCGTCTAAGAAAAATAAAAAGCAGAATATAATATTGATTAGCAATGCAAGACAATAATCCTGATAAAAAAATTAGCCTATGGAATATGAGTAAGTAGATAATCGCTACTTGCGTAGAATTAAGTAGTATTAGACGAATTTGTATTTCTGTTACCAATTGGCTCTATTGTACATGGATCACCTTCTAAAAGCGAATGAAGTAAGTCAAAACTTTGAGAGCTTCCAAAGGAAATAAGCTAAAATGACTATAAATGAGCATACATAAATTTATTAGCATTTATTCGTATTGGCAAATTTAAAAAATTATTTTACTTTATTACTTACTTTATTCTTGCTTTACTTTATTCACAGAACAAGCATGCCGAAGGGAGATATGTTCATTTACAAATGCGTTAAAATATTCAATTTAACTTGATTGAGACGTATTGAACTTTACAGTAGTATTTGATTGACATATACCTCACCTCGAGGCAAAAAATTGGGTATCTTATTGGGTTTCTTATCTTATTATTATATTATTTCTTATTAGTGATGATGGCTCTTCTTCTATGCAATAATTAATCAACATTGAAAAAATGTCACAAACTATTCAAGAAATATAAATCTTTTCAGTTGTTGAAAATAGAATTTGGCATTAAATGCGTGATTCATTTGAAAATCTCAAAAAAAAAATCTAAACAAATTTATTCAGCCAAAGGCTAATTTATGACATATAT